TTTTTTTTTTTTTTTTTGTCTTTTTTTTAAGCAATTGGAAAAAAATCTAGACATAGTGGTAAAAAAATTCTTGTTTTTATTGACAAGAATAATATTCGGTATGGTAAATTTATTTATTTATTTAGAATTTTTTTTTTTTACTTTTTGGCAATGGAAACAAATTTTATAATCAATTGTGGAAAAACATATCACTTTAATTGACAATTTTCATATAAAATAAAGCCAAACGAACACAAAAAGATATAAAAATTTAAAATTTTCTAGTTGGAAAATTATATCAATTAAACACACTTAATTAATAATTCCATGCAAAACAATTTATAGGTAATTACTTTCTCTGAAATTCATTTTTTTTCCACCCATTTTTCACCTTTACAATAAAACGGACCCTAAAAGTGTAAGGAAAAAGTGTGATTTATTGAAATTTGTCAATCTCACATTGAAAGTTTACCAATCATGGGACTTAAGAAATGGATATAAAACAGCCCCATAGGGTAGGAAAATAGGAGTTGAGTTTGGATGTTCACCTAATTAGATGACATGGTAATTAAATATGACTTGTCAATAATTAAATGGATGGACAGTAATTTGAACAGCAAAAATTGAACAACATAGTTGAAATCGAAAAATAGGGATATCGGTTGCCAGCTCTTAATTAGTTAACCTTTTTATCATATAATAATTTTTTTTTTAAATGAATTTTGGAAATCGGTCTAACGTTAAAACCGTGACTGGGTTCCTGTTTAATTGACCAATTTTTTTTATCAAACGATTAATTTATTATAATCGTATCGAATTTTGGTATGATTCCTAATTTTTCCAATTGAACCGACTGGTCTGGTCCGTTTTAAAAACATTGTATTTTAGTTAATTTTCTTCATTAACATTGTATAACACAATAATCGTTTAAATTTTCAAATGCAACTATTTTCACATATGTTTCCCATCTTTGTTACTTGCCCTTTTAAGAGCCGAGTTGATGATATGGTAGATGGAATTTTAATTTAACCGTAGTTATAAATCAAATTTTTAATAGAGTTTGAGAAAAGTAAATGAAATATATTGTTTGAAAGTTGTTACTTTCATTAAACGTGTAATTTTAACTTAAATTTAAATTTTTAATCCACACTAAATCGGGTCTTACTGTATGCCACATCACAAACTCGAAATTTTTTTAAAGTTCAATAATGAATAAAAAACGGTTGAAAAAGATCGATAAAATTTAACTCTACAATAATAGCATGATTCTTCGCTTGTTCTAACATGGAAAAGACCACACTTTACCATTATCCCTTTCTTGTCCAAATAGAAATCCATCCCATTCTTTCTTGTCCCAACCATTATATAAGAAATCTTATCCTCCTCTCTCTCTCTTTCTCAAAAGAGTTTTGAAATTTCCTCTAATGCAATTCAACCCGCCAGTCAAGACAAGGACAACCAGCCACGTTGTACAATTTTTAATGTAAGTTCTATATTTGAATTTTTGTTCAATAATTCCACCATTATCTGTCTTCTTCCTACGCCGTATGGTCCGTTTGATATGACTTTTAAAAAATTAAAAGCACCTTTTGAGATTCAAAAGTTACTTTTAGATCCATTTGACTAATTTGCATTTTTAATTTCCCCCCCCTAATTCTTGAAATCTAAGTTATTCATAAAGTAACCGTAACAATTTGGTTTAGCTAAAAAAGTTACAAGTCCAAATTAACAATTAATTTTAATAATATATTTTATGAATTCATAATTTTTATCAATTTTTTCATCATATATATTATCATTTTTTACTAAAAAAAAAAAAGATTTATAGGCAAACATCTCAATGCGTGACTCTATTGTTTTAGAGTGCTCGCTCTCTCTTCGGGGAGATTTGAAGTGTAGACAATGTCCACCATTTTGTGCATGGGGGTGCCCCAGTGCAAATTGCGTTAGTTGGCTTACAGTCGATTCTCTTGTATTGTTAAGTCACAATTGTAACTTAGTTTGTTGAATGAATCTTCCATTCTATCTCAAAAAAAATAAAAAAACTAATTCATTGACCTTTTTATTTTTTTAACAGGTACAAAAATATGACCTAATTGCATTATTGGTTCCAGAACTTTGTATAATTTCCAATTTGACCCATATAATTCCCATATAGAGCAATGCTGAAGAAAGTTGGATGGAGAGTCATAAACATTTTCAAAAATTCACTTTCAACTACACATTTTCTCGTAAAATAATTTTAAAAACAAATCGATAATTTTGAATATTTTTTAATCACAAGTCCTCCAGAAATCACTTTTTCAAAATACATTTCTAACCAAAAATGGGTCAAACAGTATCAGCGCCGTTGGCACCGCCGCCACCACCGTCACCTCCCCCACCGCCACTGCCCTCTTCACCTTCTCCACCGGAATCCCCCAGCACCACCATGTCACCACCAACACTTACTTTCCTCTTCCCGGAAACTCAGTCCACAGTCCTCCCTGATCCTTCATCATTCTTCTCTCCCGAACTCCTCTCCAATCCTTTACCAACAAATTCATTTTTCCAAAATTTTACGTTGAAAAATGGTGATCAACCTGAATATATTCACCCATATTTAATCAAATCATCTCAATCTTCTCTCACCCTCTGTTACCCATATCAGTTCAGGAATTCTGCCTTTTTATGCCAGATATTTATTGCTGATCTCACCATTTCTGCGCTGAACAATCCTAATCCAAATGCAACCCATATCATATCTGCATTCAGTGATTTGAGTGTGACTTTGGATCTTCCATCTAGTAATCTTAGGTTCTTTCTAGCTAGAGGGAGTCCCTTTTTGACTTGTAATGTGATGAGTAGTGTTGCATTGTCCATTTCAACCATTCATGCCATTCTTGAATTGTCCTCAAATAGTTCTTCCACCAAGTACACTATGAAGCTTAATAACAATCAGACTTGGCTTCTTTATGCTTCTTCGCCGATAAATTTGAGTCATGATGTTTCTACTATTACTTCTAGTGCGTTTTCGGGGATAATTAGGATTGCTGTATTGCCTGAACCGAAATTTCAAGCGGTTCTTGATTGTTTTAGTTCTTGTTATCCGATAAGTGGTGATGCTGTTTTCACAAAGCCTTTTTGTTTGGAGTATAAATGGGAGAAGAGAGGGTGGGGAGATTTATTACTGCTTGCTCATCCTTTACATCTTCAGCTCCTTTCGAGTACTGATAGTTCCATTACGATCTTGGAGGATTTCAAGTACAATAGTATTGATGGTGAGCTGGTTGGCGTTGTTGGAGATTCTTGGGTTTTGAGAAGTGACCCTATTGGTGTTACTTGGCATTCAATTAGAGGGATCAAGGAGGAATCATATTCTGAGATAATTGAAGCACTCATCAAGGATGTTGAGGCCTTGAATTTGAGTACAGTATTGACAACATCATCGTACTTGTATGGCAAACTGATTGCAAGAGCTGCTCGGTTCGCATTAATTGCCGAAGAGGTGTCTCATCTTGAAGTGGTCCCTGCAATTAGGAAGTTCTTGAAGGATATGATTGAGCCTTGGATGGATGGAACTTTTGGTGCCAATGGTTTCTTGTATGACTCGAAATGGGGTGGAATCGTGACTAAACAAGGATCAGTGGATTCACGGGCTGATTTTGGATTTGGAATCTACAATGATCACCACTATCACCTTGGATATTTTATCTACGGGATTGCAGTGCTTGCCAAGATTGATGTTGCATGGGGAAGGAAGTACAAGCCACAAGCTTATTCGCTCCTGGCCGACTTTATGAACTTGAGCACGCGAGAAGACTCAAAATATCCACGTTTGAGGTGTTTTGACTTGTGGAAATTGCATTCTTGGGCAGGAGGGCTGACAGAGTTTGCAGATGGTCGAAATCAGGAGAACACAGGCGAGGCCGTGAATGGATATTATTCAGCGGCTCTTATGGGACTGGCCTATGGGGACAGCCACCTTCTTTCTGTTGGATCTGCTTTATCTGCTTTGGAAATTCAAGCCGCAAAAACTTGGTGGCATCTGAGAGAGGAAGATAATGTATATGGAGAAGAATTTACCAAAGAGAACAGGGTTTTGGGTATTTTATGGACTAACAAAAGGAACAGTGGCCTTTGGTTTGCTCCGGCAGACTGGAGGGAGTGCAGGCTGGGAATTCAACTACTGCCTATACTTCCCATAAGTGAAATTCTATTCTCTGATGTACATTTTGTGAGACAGCTCGTGTCATGGACATTGCCAGCACTGGCTCGGAAAGGAGTTGGAGAAGGTTGGAAAGGTTTCGTACATGCGTTGCAAGGGATTTACGATAAAGAAGGGGCTTTGAGTAATATCAGGAACTTAAATGGATATGATGATGGAAATTCCCTCACAAATCTTTTGTGGTGGATTCATAGTGGAGATGATGAAAAGGAGAAACGAAGGGAACTTTCTTGGTTTCGTCACTATTATCACCGAATGTCTGTCTTAGAGTGAATATCCCAAGCATTTCTTCCTCATTGTTTGCTATATTTCAAAATGAATTCTGAAATCATTGGATTCTTGTAAATAAGTGCAATATATCACGGCACATGAAACACGTTTTATAAGAATAAACATGTTGGATCTGCTTTACAGTTGCTTTTCCTGTTCTATCGAGAAGGTTAATCAGATTTAGTTCTTCAACGAACAAACATAGGTTTTGGATTTTAACATGTATACACAATTAAATCAGCACGATTTATTATAAGTACCTTCACTCAATTTTAGTTTCCTTCCCCCGACAGAGCAAACGTTTCAACTTTTGCAACCTCAAGCCCCACCGTTGCATTCTCCCACCCAGTAAAATCCCTCTCCTTCCTGCCGGACGGACACAAAGGGAGGGGGAGGACGGCGATGATAACACAAGGAATGAAAAAACCAGTTTTACAGATCTTTTCATTTTGATCCTTTCTCATCATTTTTGGGGTTAAAAAATGTGGACTAAGAGTTCATTTTCCTATATATTCTAAAATCAGGGAAATCAAATTTCTAGAATTGAGAACTATTTCAAGAATGGTACAAAATGCACAACTTCAACTCATAAAACAAGAAACCAAGCCCAATGTAAATACGTGCACTGTCCAAGAATACTACATAGAATAGTCTACATAAAAATAGCAAAACACTAGCCTCCAACTTATGGATGAATTAAGACAAATGAGTGCAAAATGCAACTCAGAGAACCTTAATCTGACTTTAGTGGTACATTAATATTTCCAAACTAATCCACACCTAAGAGCAGAAGAGAAATCAAGACGCCAAAAGAAAACTACGAACCAGCATATGCTCTAAGACTTAAACTTAAGACCACATGACTCGGCATCTCATTACGTAGTGAGGAAAGTCCAAAGCTTCTTACCAATGGAAGCTTCACCGGGATGGTTGACCTCATCATCATCGCCATCATCATTATCGTCGTCGTCATTTTCCTCACGACTTTCAGTTTGGAGATCCTCATCGCTGTAGTCCCTGGCTCCTGCAGTCCCATTCACCTCTTCACTCATTACCATGTCATCCAACGACATATTTGCTGTGTATTTTACATGATTACCACCCGCAGCATTCTTGAACTGCCCAATTGACAAAAATAAAACATTAAGTAAACCAGTAGAATAAAAGCAACTTCCATCTACAACAGGGAAAGAGAGTTTTGGCGCTTCAGAGCGTGATATGAAGCTCAGAGTCAACAGTAGAATACCAAGTGGAAAAAATGAGGTAGGGAAGGAGGATACCCTAATGGGGCTGTCTGCTGAAAACTCGCTGGCAGCCTCTGTGCTTCTTACAGGCACACTATCATCTCCACCACCAAACCCCGTGGGAAGGGTCGATGCAGCAGCTTCAGGATCACGGATTTCTTCCCCAACTTTTGAGCTGGGAAGTTCTTTCCTTTGACTTTTGACACCAGCAACCGACTTTCTCTTGTTCTTGCTTGGTTCAGGTAAGGATCCATTAGATTCTGTTGCCACTGAACTGGGGGCCATAAATGTGAACACTGGTATTAGTATTATTTTTCCCACAGAAAAGAAGTAACAAAAAGAAAGACAAGCAACAATATTAGCCAACAAACATGTACAGGCAGAAATAGGGTCCTGTGCATCAATCAGCTGCTAGAAAGCATTTTTAAAAAATTTCAACCTTCTGGAATCAATAGGACAACCCACATGCACAAGGCCAGGAAATACTGACAAGGTCAAATAACAGAGAGATGAGTGAATTACATTTTGGACCGCCGGAGATTGTATCGTTTCTCACCAAAGCTTTGTCCAGGTGTAGCAATCTTTTGTCGTCTCTTCTTGCGAACCCCATCCCCAACGCTATCTGAATGTCCACTGTGACCATCTTCACTAACTGTTGCTTGAGATACATTTACACGGTTTCGCTTTCTACCATTTCTTGGTTTATCAACACCCAAAAGATCAGATTCTGCCAGACTATCTTCGTCCAAATGAATAGGATTCTCCGCACTACCATTAGCATGCTGACTATTCTCTAGCGGAGCTTCCCCTAAGATAGCCTCATTTGCACCAGCACTGGCAGCTTTCACAGATCGGGTTCTAATTGCCCTGGGCCTGCTTCCCTTGCCAGGTCCTCGGCGGCGTGTTTTCGCATCAGAATTCTGAGAATTTTCTGGGATAGCTTCTCCGTCAACATTCTTCTGATCAACTAATTGATCTTGTACATCTTCAAGCTTCCTAATGCTGCCATCGTATTGAGATCTTTGGACATCAAAAGAATCATCTGCAACCTGTAGGGATGGTTCTGGCTCATTTTCGGTGTTCGGTAATGTTTTTGGTGACTGAACATCAACATGCTCCCCAGGAAGGGTTGTTAGATCAGCTGGATCTTCGGAAGAAGCAAGCTCAAGTTTCTTAACCGGTGATAATTTAAAAATTTTAGAGGTACATTTCCGGAACCAAGAGATCGTTCCACCAGAAGGTGGAGATGCTGAATTTACTACAACAGGAGATAACTGAGAAGGGCCTTCAATTGCCTCCTTCAAATAATTCTGAGCAGCTTGTGGCAATGGAGGCGGGACCTCAGCATTCTCCAGCTCCTCTAAAGATTGAAGATCAGAAAGCATAAACTCACGAATTGTCTCTCCACAAATGTTGCAGCCTTTCTGTTTCTCAGCAAACATAATGAAGCGTTCTCTTTCCTTGATAAACTGCTCCCTTTGATCCTTTAACTTCCGACTTAGGTCAACCAACTCCTCAATGTCTTTCTTCATCTCACACTGTTGTGATTCCATGTGCTTCTTATTCTGTGAAATTTCCAGTTTCTCTTTCTCTAGCTTATTTCTTTCCAACTTCATCTCTTCCATTTCTCTTCTGGCCACTTCTCTCAAGTAATTAATATTATTAAGTTCCCTTTCCTTCTCTTCCTCGAATGATATCTCGCTCTCACGGATATGATTCTCCATCTCTTCCTGCTTCCTCTGCATTTCAGACTCAAGCTTATGTTTCAGGACTTCAAAATCATGATGAAGCTGTCTTCTCTCACTCTCAGATTTTTCAGTCAATATCAACTTTTCATGCTCCAAGCTAGCATTAAAAGAATCTTTCGCCACCTTAAGGGCTTCTAATTCCCTCTGAACATATTTTTGAGTTTCTAACTTCTCATTGTTTAACCTTTCCTCTTCAGAGTGTTTCAATTTTTCTACATATTTTTTCTGTTCAACGACATCCTCCAGTTCTTTTCCAATCTCGGCTCTTCTGTTATCGAGCTCTTCCCATTCTTTCTCAAATCTCTCCCTTTCATGCTTCAAATCCTCAGCTTCCTTCAAAAGCTGTTCATTTTGAAGCCTGCACTTGTCTATCTCCTGTTTCAATTCGGACTGCAGGCGTGTGTGTTCTAATCTATCATCTTCAGTTAGTTTTAGCAGTTCCCTCTCTTCCCGCAACTTTATTTGCTCTTTTTCAATGTCGGCCCTAACTTTCTCAAGCTCGGCCTTGAGATTAAGCAAGCTCTCCTTCTCAGCCATAATTTGTTTACTCTCCTCTTCCAAGTTTTTCTCTTCGATTTTGATTGACTTCTCCCTTTCCTTCAAAGATTTTGATTTTGAGTCGAAATCCATTTCTTTCTCCCTTATTTTCTCTGATTTCTTTTCAAGTGCCTGTTCTCTTTTTCTGACTTTCTCTTCCATATGAGTAATTTCAGCTTCCTTCTTCTCTACTTCAGCCACCTTGTTTTTCAACTCTTCATCAAGAGATTTCCTCTTTTGATCCATTTCCAAGTCAAACGCCTCCTTCTTTGCATCCAAGATGGTCTTGTGTTCATCCAAAAGTTTCTGAATCTCCACCTACACGAGTTTTATTGGAAATAGTCATATAACAATCACAATTACCAGGGTAAGGAGAAGTTGCTAATGTAAAAAATTATTTGTAAGTCGATAACTAACTATTAAGTTAGATGACATGGGCCACTGCCCAAAAAGATGTAAATAGGGAATTTTCAATTACCATGTATATGAAACTGAATTTCAACTAATGTCTATATAAAACCTATCAAATTAAATATTAGGAAAAACTAAATAATAGATGAAAGCAAGAGTGCTCACTTTCTCTCTCGTGTTTAACTTCTCTTCTAATTCCAGTAATTGTTTCTCTTTCATCTCTAAGCTCTTCTTAATATCATCAGCTTCCTGCATCAATAACAATACAAAGTCAGTAAGAAGAAAAAATAATAATTTACAACCATATTAATGAATTTCAGACAAAAACTTGCCTTCTCCTTGAGCACAAGACTTGCTAGTCTGCTGCTTATATCATCTTCCTTATTCTTCAAAACTGAATTAGCCATCTCAATCTTCTTCTGTAGTTCTTCAAGGTCACTCTGCTTTTTCTTCAAAACCTTATCATTCTCATTTGCCCTCTCCTCTCTTTGATTAAGTAATCTTCTGCCATCAGCCAGCCTATCTTCTCCCTCCTTTAATTTTCGTTCCCATTCACGCAAGTCATCCTTTTGTTTAGATAAAGCAGTTTCATGTGCCTCACGTCTGCCAAAATATAACAGTCAAGTCAGACACAGGTATCCAGAGAGAAGTTGAATGTGCAAGAAAGGAGAAATTTATGGGTCTCGAACATACTCGGAGATGAATAAGGCCCGCTCCCTTCGAATTGAATTTTCTTGAGCATCCACTTCATGTGATTTCCTCTCAATTTCGGAACTCTTCCTGCTCACCTCAGCAAGCTTAGCATCAGCTGCGTGAATTTTTGCTTCAACCTCCAATGATTTCTCCTCAACACTAGTTACTAATGCATTTGCCTCGGCCAGTTTTGAATCAGCTGTGAACTTAATTGCAGCATTGTCTGAGCGCATCTCATGCAAAGCCTTCTCTAGCTGCAACAACCAACCACACCAAAAGTTAACTATTCACTGTTATATCACAGAAGAATTAATTCCCACCCGCTAAAATAACTACAGAATAACGTCCTCATTTTTTTCCCTCATCCAAGTAACAAACTTGTAACTCACTTTCCATAGCTAATTGGTCCATCACAAAATAAATGTTACACGAGAAATCACTTACAATAGCTAGCATAACTATATCACATGCGAGTAAATAAGAACAAGGATGTTTCCTTATAAATGCATATGCATATGTATTTGTTTATACCTGTATAAAACACAAACTGATTGTAGTTCACAGTCTCTTTAAATACTGATCATTTTTTATAGGCTGATTTTGTTTTTCACACGGATTAAGAAATCTTATTTAATGTTATTCAAAAAGCAATTTTTGTCAAACACTTTCCCAGTTTACCCTTATTTAATTGTCATCAACCAATAATAAATTATTGATGGAAGTAGTAAAGAAATAGGAGTATATTAGTAAACGAACAAAACAAAACATTTTCAATAAAGAAACGAGACTATATAATTGGGACAAGAAAATAAGGAAAGTTAGCCTATATAAATGGGACGGAGAGAGTATAAAAATGGCCAATGCATGAGGTAATTTGAGAAGAGCATATCTTACATCAAGCACACATTGCCTTTCAACACCTAATGCTTTCTTTAAATTCTCTTCCCGCTTCTCCACTTCAGACATTGCAATTGAATTGGCCACTTGTTCTTTTTTTAGTACATCGTTCGTCTCTGCTAAGGCTTGCCTAAGTTCTTCGTACTTTGAAGTCCACTCCTTTTTCTCTATCAAAAGAAGGCCCATATTGTATTGATAGTCAAAGAGCTGCATGAAAATACATTAGTCAGTGTGCATGTTTATTAACCTCAAAAAATACATTGACATGACAATTGCTTGTAAAACTCATAAAAATCTACCATTAGAATATCTAAATATCAAACCAAAAGATTAACACTTAAACGATATCCGAGGATAAAACATTAACAGAATTCAGAACAGGAAAACTCAATTAAATGAATTAAGTCAGAAAAGAGAAGTAAAAATCAAGGAAACAAAAAGCCCAAATCAAATTAATTGTACCAAAGAAGAAATAGGATAAGGAAAGCAAAGACAAAGACAAAGACAAAAACTACATAGCTTCAAGTAATAATGTATTCCATTATGGGATACCAAGTGAGGCTGACTTGCAGCTTTTCAAACTAGGTAATGTTCCCCCTTAATGCCTCCAAGAGAATCCACAAACCCATTATTCAGAAAGGACATATCTAAATTGACTAGTCAATCTGTTCATTCAACAGAGTGGAGTCACAGAGCTGCTGGGTTTGGGTTTAGAGCTCAAACTAATTAAAAAAGAAAAACATAAAAGAGTGGTAAGCTTCTCCGTCAATGCAGCCAAAAATTCATGGAAAGAAAAAAATTCAAAACATTTCATTGCAGAAGTAGAACAATTAATCATTGGGCAGCTTAAATGTTTACCATTCATGCCCTGGTTCAATCAAGGGCAAACTAAATTGTCAACAGATCAAAAACAACCCGGAAAGTAATAGGAGAATACAAAAACCTATATGATCCAAGATACTAAACTTTGTCAGTCTAGGACTTCTTATGCTAGTTCATATCCCATTTCTAGTTTAAGAACTAAAAGTATAAAGATTAGGATCTTCATCATATCAGTTCTTCCATGCTCCAAATTGCATCACTTCACGCCAGTGAAAGAAGACCCGTACAGCCATCATGATATAGCATATTATGAATGGAGATGGATTATTAAAAAAAGGGACTTAAACAACACAAGCTAAACTTCTGTTAACTTAGTTCTTGAGGCCAAAAGCATGTATAAATTGTGAAAACGTGCATCTCATGGAAATTACTCATGTAATAAGATTCAAGACAACAAGTAAAATTTGCACAATTTCTTGAATAATCTAGCAAAATTTTCCAAAACCAACAACCAGTTCAATTGGATTTAAGAACTCATTGCTTACTTTAAAGGGGAGGGGGGACAAAAAACACAGAGGCGATTAGATGAAAGATGATTCAAGGTCAAAAGAAGTTCACATGAGATCCTCACTTATTCACAGTCATACTAAAAATGGTTAAATAGAATTTAGGATTCTCCTAAAATCTGCCAAATGTGCTCCTCAGCCTTACTGCATAAGATAAAATGAAAACCATTCATCAGTGGGCATCACTATATAGTTCCTTGACTTCTCAGTTCCACTTCATATTGCAGGTACTCCAATATAGTTTTACTGCTAATGCTTACTCTCTATCAGATTCGCCACTCTCAAGTCAAATCCTCATCTAATCCAAAGATATAAAATATATAATCAAGTAAAAACTTAATCAAATCCGCCATTACACTCCCTACATATTTAGGTGAAATGGTCCCAAAGCAGGAAATATGTAATTACACCATTCAAAATCCAACAAGATCATAGAACAAGGAGACAACAAAAACTCAAAAAGTAATAATCATAAAAAATCAAAACAATCAATATACAACAAAGTAAACCAATACTAACTTCGTTTTCAAGCTTCAAAAGTTTATCGGTGAGAGTATCCTGGTCCATGGCCCCCCTATTCTCAACAAAAGCTACGGCTTTTCCCTTAATTTCACCACTCCTCGGGCTTCTAGGATTAGGGTTGTGCCCCGCAGCGGGCAGCGAAACTGATCCGTTCTTTTGAGCCGGCTCACTCCGCGGCGTCAACGGCCACAACTTCTGCGGTGTAAACATTACGGAAAACTAACTTCTCCTACGAAAAATCCCAAAAATTGTGAACACCCAGATCGCAGACCCAACTTCATAAGAAGAAAGAAACCAGAAACAGTAGAGGATAAAGCAGTAAAATTGGTGAAAAAGAAAACTCAAAAAAATTTGAAGAACCTCGAGCGGATTTGAACGGAATTCCCAAATTCTGGAACATAAACAGTTGTGAAATCCGGTAACGTCTCGAAACCAACTGTCTCTCTCTAACTTTCTGTACTGTCTCTCTCTAGAGCCAACCTATTTTGTGGTGTGCGCGGATCGCTCACGTTCTTTTATTTTTATTTTAATCCCCCGACAGCAATTCGACCGTGCAAATTTACCTCACTACCCATACTAAAAATTCATTTTTAGCCGTTAAAAGGGGTAGTTTGGGGATTGCGTTCGGCCGCCTTTAAATAGATCGTGGGATGTTTTTTTTATTTGACGAAATTACCCTTGTATTTTGGGAGGTGGAAGTGTTAAATTATGGAAAACGTAGGGGTGATTAGGTAAATTAACTGAAGGAATATGCTGAGTTGAAATGCCACGGTGTTTTTGGGTGGGTTATAAGCATTGGGAATGAACAAGGGAAGAAACTGGGGCTATGACTTGGATTGAAGGTAAGGCATATGGAGTAACACGTTTCTTTTTTGTGTTTATTACGTGAGTTTCTTAGCCCCACCACTCCCGTCCCTATCTCTTTATCCAATTCTTCTTAGTGATGGCGATGGACTAAATCGACGGACCGACTCGAGCCGACTTGCTCTACGTACCCACGAGCTTGAGTTTTTTTTTTTTAAAGTTACCAAACGATATTCGATCACTTTTTTGACGAGCCCACAAGCTTGTGAACCTCACGAGCCGCTGTTCCATGGGCCGAGCTTCGACGAGTCGATGAGCTACTCGACCCTTTTACCACCTCTAATTCTTCTAAACCCCTATTTGGTAGGAAGATTTTAATTTAAGTCAAAATTTTATGAGATTCACAACTTTTTAATTATATATTTCTTCGTCAACTTCTATTAAAATTTACTAAAAATCTAATTTTAATCATAATTAAAACAGGGGCTTATGTTGATTGTTTAAAAGTTGTTGTGCTACACATTTGCTTCTAGATTTTGAACAATAATATCAAAATGTAAAAAATTTGGATTTATTTATACTTTTTGTAAATGTTATACACTTCTATTGCAATTTTCCTGAGTTAATTATTAGCATATATTGGAAGTGAAAATGTGACATGAAGTCACCTCATACACATGATCTTAATCAATTGATTTCAATGAGGAAATGAGATATTTTTACGGTATCAATGATCAAAATTATTTGCTTTTGATATTCAAAATGTATAAATAAAATACGCATAAATACATGTGGCATGACTTGAGATGCTTAATGAAATATAATTATTTACCTTCTTAGTGTATCCCAAGAATGTCATTTATGAGGTAATAAAATTGACATTAATGATTGATAACATTCAAGCCAAAATTGGTACTCCCTTCGTCCATTTATATATGTTGATTTTTCTTTTTCTTTTTTGTCTAAATTATATAGTCATTTTTTTTTATTGAAAATGTTTTGTTTTGTTTTGTTCGTTTACTAATATATTTGCCTAGTTATAATTAATGTGAAAATTGAAAATTAAATCATTCAATTTTTTCACTGCTTTCAACAATAATTTACTATTAATTGTTGATAATTAAGAGCATATTTGGTACATCTTAAAATCCAGTTAAAATTGAAAATATAATCGTTATTGGGTCTCACTCGTCTAATAAAAGTCAACAATAACGACTAGTTTTTTAATTTTAATCCGATTTTATTCTTTACCGAACACGCCCTAAATAAGGGTAAACTATGAATTTTTTAACAAAAATTGATTTTTCAATAACATCAAATAATATGTTTTTAATCCATGTGAAAAACAAAATCTGCATATATAAAATGGGACGAAATGAGTATATGCTACCTAGGTGTCTTTTATTTTTGGGTAATTGGCGCAAAATATCCATATCTTTGCACGACTTTGTGCAAAACGTCTCCACCTTTCTTTTTTGGCGCAAAACGTTCATACCTTTTACATTTTTTTGCGCAAAACGTCATTTTGACCAATTTTTAACATAAAATGACCATTATACCCCCTATATAAATAAAACAAAAAAGAAAAGAAAAATAAAGAATAAATTGCAATACGCTTCTCAACTTTTTCAAAAATACAAATCAATCCAAAACTTATTAAAAATAACAAAAACTGGGCCAATGAAACTCATTGAAATTATCACCTCCACCCAAAAACTGAGGCCGATTAAACTAAGCCCCCAAAATACAAACTAGGGTTAAATAAAATTGAGGCCAATCGATCGTCACGGAAGGGAATGTTCTGCCTATGAGGTAACTTGAACACTGGAGCGCGAGCCAACTGCCGGTGAGGTTTCTTGTTGGCTATTGGCTGCGGCAAGCGAGCAAGAGAAAAAAACTGGTGAGGCTGATCGAGCGACGAGCGAGAGAAAAACTGGCAAGACTGAAAGAGCGAAGGGTGCAGGTGTGGCTGTCGATTGGATTTATAGATGGTGGTGGGCGATTGTGGCAGCAGAAGTTTGTGATTTTGTGAGAATGTGCCAATTTACTAATTTGTTGACTGGTAGCGGATTTGGTTTTCAATTTCAGAGGCGATTATTGCAATTACGGTGATTGGTGAAATTTTCTTTTACTTCGATTTTTTTGTGTTATGAAGAAATCATCGCCGACTTCAAATTCTGGTGGTTTTGGTTATCATTGTGCTGCACCTGGATTTGGATTTGAAAGGGAAAGACTTGAGGGTTCAAATGTGGGGTTTACTGTAGGACGTGGCAGATCCAGTGTATCCATTGCAAACCCAGTCCTATTCTCTTATGTATTTGGTGGTCAGATCAAACCCCATCAATCCCTCATTATAGTATCTCATCTTAGCCTCTTTTCTGCACTCCAAAGCATACTTAATATGGTTCCTAAAGGGGCGATTTTTTTGCCCCTTTTTTGAGAAAAAAAGGTGAGGGATGGAATTGTTTAGGGTTTTGGCGGCGGCGGTGATGAGGGAGGGAGAGAGTTTTTGTTATTTTTAATATTTTCATAAGATTTGGATTGATTTGCACTTTTCAAAAAGTTTTGGAGTAGATTGCAATTTATTCTTTATTTTTCTTTATTTTTCTTTTTTGTTTTATTTTATAGGAGGGTACAATGGTCATTTTATGTTAAAAATTGATCAAAATGACGTTATGAGCAAAAAAATGTGAAAGATGTGGACGTTTTGTGCCCAAAAAAAATGAAAGGTAAGGACATTTTGCACAAAACCATGCAAATGTAGAGACGTTTTGTGCCAATTACCCTTTATTTTTTAAAATTTCGAATAAAATCTAGTGACGTGTAAAAAAGTTACTAATAGAACTTTTAAATATAGACGAAACTATAATATCTTTTCTTTTTTTTTTTTGGTCACGTCGACTTGACAAAATTGTCTCAATAAAAAAAAAGGATTTTTTTAAACCATTGTCTATAAGTAGTAGGTCTAGGCAAAAAAATCGAAAAATTGATCAAACCGAACAACCTTAGGTCGGTTTAACATTGTTAATTGGTTTGGTTTGGTTTTATTTTAAACAAAATTATGATCACTCGATTCAGCCATAGTTTAAAGCCTCAAACTGCTGGTTAACCGACCCACCCACTTACACATGTTTCCATTTTTATTTTTATTTTTTGAAAAAAGAAAAGACAAAATCAAAAGTTTAATGATGTTCTCCCAAAAATGGAGGAATCCAAGCTGCCTTTTTGAATAGTCTTTTTAAATACTATATACGAACTTAGTTTTATGAAAACTCTTCTTAGTGTATCCCAAGAATGTCTTTTATGAGGTAATAAAATTGAGTCTTTGCTTACATACATTAATGATTGATAACATTCAAGCCAAAATTGGTACTCCCTTCGTCCATTTATATAGGTTGATTTTCCTTATTTTTTTGTCCAAATTATAGTCATTTTTTTTTATTGAAAATGTTTTGTTTTGTTCGTTTACTAATATATTTGCCTAGTTATAATCAATGTGAAAATTGAAAATTAAATCATTCAATTTTTTCACTGCTTTCAACAATAATTTACTATTAATTGTTGATAATTAAATAAGGGTAAACTATGAATTTTTTGACAAAAATTGATTTTTCAATAACATTAAATAATATATTTTTAATCCATGTGAAAAACAAAATCTGCATATATAAAATGGGACGAAATGAGTATATGCTACCTTGGTGTCTTTTATTTTTTAAAATTCCAAATAAAATCTAGCGACGTGTAAAAAAGTTACTAATAGAACTTTTAAATATAGACGAAACTTAATAATATCTTTTTTTTTTTGTCACGTCGACTTGACAAAATTGTTTCAATAAAAAAATGATTTTTTAAAACCATTGTCTATTAGTAGGCCTAGGGAAAAAAAAATCGAAAAATTGATCGAACCGAACCACCTCAGGTTGGTTTAACATTGTTAATTGGTTTGGTTTGGTTTTATTTTAAACAAAATTATGTTCACTCAGTTCAGTCATGGTTTAAAGCTTCAAACTGCTGGTTAACCGACCCACCCACTTACACATGTTTCCATTTTTATTTTTATTTTTTGAAAAAAGAAAAGTCAAAATCAAAAATTTAATGATGTTCTCCCAAAAATGGAGGTATCCAAGCTGCCTCTTTGAATAGTTTTTTTTAAAATACTATACGAACTTAGTTTTATGAAAACAATTTCAAGGAAACATTGATATTATTTTATGTCATTTATAAACGTTCTCTCTTGCTTCGATTTGTAGGCCCTGCTTTTTAGTTAATTTTTTCCACACAGCATTTTTTACTTGTAATAAGTTCACCTTCTAAAAATGTAGGTTGATATAATGATTATGGATATATGGTTATGTATTAGTTTCAATATTTAGTCTTTTTGATTACATACTATGTTTTGATTCCTTAATTACAGCTTACATGTTTTGCAAGTGCAGGTTGAGAAAATGATTTTCATTCTTTGAAAATTGAGCTTCCAAAACTCTTTTTAGTTGATATTGGTTGTAACTCAAATAAAAAAGTGTATAATTAAAAACAAATATATATTCTAAGTGACCCCAAAACCCAAGACAATTTATTTATTTTTTTAAAAAAAATCAATTAGGACAAAAGCTCAAACCGAACCAAACTAATTTGGTTTGAGTTAAGATATAAATTGGGTCGGTTCAAATTCACCCAAATCGACTAATTTGGTTTTAATTTTGAGTTGGGGCCGAAAACAAACCAAACCAAACCAAGCCCTGGCCTAATAAGTAGAATTTGTTTTTAGAAATCGACTAAAGCAATTGAGATGCTCTGATTTTTCAGCTATATAATAATATAAATATAATGTCCCTAACAATATGCTTGCATCACCTTTTCGTCTTATAATCAATTAGTTCAATGAATTAAAAAATTTAATGTCTTATCCTAATGACGCGATACCCATAAATAAATTATCTTTTCTACAATCGCAATCAAAACTGTTTGAAAGTAGTTCAAAACTTCATAAGAATTTATTTTCTAATGGGTCCTACTACACGCCGACTCTATCAACTCTCTATTTCTCTCAATAATATTATGTACGGTCACAAAGGCTAACGATCAAAACTTTCCCTAAAAGAATCATTCATAGAAGATGACAACAATCTCCACAAGAGGATCAAAATAGCTAGTCACAACCCAAAATGCATCTTAAAAACTGCTCCGAGAGGCGGAAAATTCGCACTCTTCAGATTCAGGTTAAAATTTGTAAACCAAAAAGAAAGTGCATTAAAGAGACACAAAACCTTATTCCCAAAGAAGATCCAATGAAGATTAAACAATGTTATTTCCTGCATGGGCCACAAAATTGCTTCCAAGTCTCGAAGAAGTTGCATTGCACGTCTCTATATCCATAAATGCTCTCTCTGGTATTCTCGAACGATAACTGGAACGCTTGTTGGTGGGATCTTGATACATCACAAAAAACGTTACGAATGAACATAAAAATGGAAATAGTGATGCTGAGCTAACTAGCAAATTCAGGTAGAAAGATAGGAGAGGGAAACTATCATTATTATTTTAGATTCACACGGGCGACCAATTAGGAAAGAGAAAAATATCTGCATTTGAGAGACTGGGCAGCAACACATTCAGCCAATCCAACAGAGAGTAACACAGTCTTTATTTATCAAACAACTGTCGTACCCAAATGAC